TCCATACTTGGAGAGTTTCTCTTCCCATGCCGCTCCAAAGTCCCTCTTATCAGAGATGATGGTCGGGTCAACCACTAAGATCTTATCTCCCCGGAGGACCACCAGGTCAGGTTTCCGGACAGTGTTCCCGACAGGGATCACATTGTCCTTGTTAAACCTGACCTTCCTTTTGGAGAGGTCCTTCTCCAGGATTGATTGAACGTCATCGTGCCTCTTGATCCTGTCTGCCCGGGATCTGGGGCACATTTGGAGGATATGGTCCAGGTTCTTCACCGTCTCCGGACAGGCCTCACACTTGTTACCAAAGGTGAAGGGGGTGAAACGGGCCTTTTTGGACTTGACGAAGGGAGCTCCTCCAAGAATTTGGAGAGCCGCAATGAACTCACGGTCCTCGATCAGGAATCGTCCTCCGGTGAGGAACTGCGAGTTGCGGTAGCCTTTCTTACATGAGGCCAGACCCGCAGTGTCGATCTTCCTGTAGAGTTCCTCCGCCAGCTGACCCTTGGCCGATTGCTTGTCAGTGACTGGACGGCCCCCGATGAGACAAGAAGAGAGCGCGAGCTCAGCAGGTCTCGCTCTTACTGCTGCCTGGACCAGTGGATCCAGCGATTTGGCAGCCGCCTTTGCTGCTCCATTCTTCGCGACGACAGCCCTGGAGCGGAACTGCAAGAGTCCGAGACCACCCATGGAGGTGGGGGCATGGAAGAACTCGATGGGGGTGCAGCGTGGGAGTCTTCCTAAGGAGCGAACGTATTCTCTTACGAGGTGATCCGCCGTTTCGATGTCCCTGGAGTTCACCTTCCCCAGGGAGAGCTCATATATGAACTTAGGGAGGAGGAAATCCCTGACGCACCAGTACTTGTGCTGTAAGGAGACATTCGCGTCGGAGATGTTGTCGAGGCCTTTCCTAAGCGCTGCCGTGACATTGCTAGTCCGCACCCCTTCATCGCTATAGAGAAGACCCAAGTACTTCTGGGTTTCGTCTGGGGACATCTGACGAAGCTGGGAGCCACCGAGCCCCAGGGTGCTCCTCGATGAGCGGGTCCCTCTTCCTGCAGCGAAGTATCTGCATTTGGCTGGGTTTAGCTTTAAGCCCACTTTCCCCGCGGCCAGGCCAAACGCATCCAGGAAGTTTTGGAGTCCCTCCTTGGACCTAGACAGCAAAACTGCGTCGTCCGCGTAAAGCAGGGCGCTGGCTGGTACTCCATCCAACTTGTATAGGTCCATGCGCGAGCCTTGTTGGTCAATGGCTTCTTCCAACACTCCGTCCAGGACGAAGTTGAATAGTAAAGAGGAAAGGGGGTCCCCCTGCAGGACGCCGGAGTTAATGCTCACAGGAGCATTCCTCCCAAGCACTGTCGTGGCCATGTTGAGGACTTCCGTGAAGTAATCCGTCAGGGGATCAGGGATTCCCAACCGTCTGCAGGCCCACCGTACAGACTGGTGTGAGACGGAGTCGAAGGCTTTCGAGAAGTCCAGGAAGACCCCGTGGACCTTATTACCGTCTCCGCCTCTTGAGGAGGCCTTTGTCAGGACCGCCTTAAGAATGGTGTTGTTCTCCAAACACCCGTTGATCTTGCGAAATCCCCTTTGGGCACCATTGATCTCAACTGCCTCCAACCTCCTAGCGAGAATCCTGTGAAAGACCCTCGTGTAGTGAGGGAGAACTGTGATGGGCCGGTAGTGGGAAGGGAGAGTCGGGCACTCCACCTTTGGGAGAAGTGAAGTCCTACACTTGTAGAGCTCCTGAGGAGGCTTCTCCCCAGCGACCATGGCATTATAATACCTTGCCAGAAAGGCCGGCTGAAGAGAGCGGAAGGAACGCCCATCCATTCCCAGCGGATCTTCACCCGCATCCTCTTTTGGGAGGGCCTTTTTCACCTCCTCCTCCGTAATGGGGAACATGGCGCTGTAGATGGGTTCATCTCGTGGGGGGACAACTCTTTTGTCCTCCAGGGAGGGCTTTGACATCGTTGCTTCCCATGCCCTTGTCACCTCCGTTGGAATGGGCTGGGATGAGAGGTGTTTTGACAGCTTCCCGTCGGCTATCGCCCTCATCGTTCCCGAGAAATCCTTCTTCAATTCCACGGCAATCCGCTTCCTGGAGTGCCGTGAGGCTCTGGGGGAGGTTTTTATGAGGCCATTCCTCTCTCTATACCCCAGAACCGCGTTGTCAATGAGGTCGGAAATGATTTTGTTCACAGTCACTCCTTGACCATCAGTTCCTAGAGCCAGGATGCATTGGCTCAGGTTGGCGTCGCACCTATAGTTGAACTGCGCTCCTAGGAGCGACCGCATCCTCTTGGGGAGGGGATTATAATTCTCGTGGTTCGCGGGATTGAAGGCCACTCTGAATAGGCACCTCATGATGTCCTTCGGGGTGATTATGTCCGCCTGGCGAATCGTTGCCTTCAAAGCTTCTAAAGCCGATGACTCCAGGACTTTGTCGTTCCTCACTAGCAGTACCCTGGCATAGTCGGACATCTTTCTGGCCTGGATCGCTTTGAGCCAGTTAGCTTGGCGCTCCGTGAGGGCCTTTACTCCCTCGCGCTTAGGGGCCGTAGGCTCTTTGGCGGCCTGCTTAAGGAAGCATAAGATTGAGTCCATACCAAGTCCCGCGGCCTTCTCACTGGCGAGTAGCTTCAGGTCTCTGATATCATCCATCCTGGGGAAGGGAGCTTCCCTGACGACGGGCTCCAAGGGGGTAGGACGGGGGGGAGCAGGGGGGTTTGGCGATGAGGTAGCGCTGGGGCTCTGAACCATCGTTGAGCTCATGGGAGCTTCTATGATGAGTGCATCCTCCAGCACTTGAGGGACGTCCATGACGGGGGGGGCCTCACTGTGGCCAGGGGATGGGTGGATCTCCATTCTCGGAGACGAAAGGATACTCTGGTTCGGAGTGACTCTCCGGGGGGAGGCCCTAGATTGCTCTCGTTGGCAATGAGTCTGGAGCGAAAGAAGGTTGGAAAAGTCTCCAGGAATGCTCTCAAGAGACGGTATGAGGGCTCCTCTCTCAGCTCATGTAGGGTTGGAAGAGGAATATTGAAATTCATGGACAGGGAGAGAATGAGGTCGGCCTCGTTGATACCGCTCTCTGAGGTCAGAACCTCCGCCTCAAAAGCTACTAGGCTATGTATCAGACCTATAACTTGAAGGTCCCTTGGCAGTGTGGTGGAGGAGGAGATGGTGAGGTAATCCTCACGGTAAGTGGGGAGGAAGCGTGCCAGGCAAACACCCAGAGGCGAGAATCCCAACTGAGCCGTGAGTTGGCCTTGGATTTGGCATTCCGGCAGTCCCGCCGTGTGCATTTTAATGTCCAAAGCCACCATGGCTAGCACATTGGGAATCTTTAGCTCATTGAAGAGGACAGCTCCAAGTTCCAATGGGGCCCATGTTACTCGATGTATGAGCTCTTCCGCCTGCCTGTTGGCATCAGCCCTCGCGGCCTGGCATTCAGGATGGGGGCAGCTGTCGCCTCTAGTGAATTGCCGTCGTGTGGGGCTGGGAGTCGAGATGGGTGGAGTTGGACTCTCCTGAGGGGTGTAAGGGCGCCTCACGCTGTCGTCGACCCAAACTGAATCGTCCAGAATACGTCCGGACCTCAAGACACGAGGGGAGAGTCTCTCCCTCCTCTGGACGAGTATGGGCGAGGGCATGACAAAGGAGCGCATATTTGAATTGCCCTGTGAGAGGGTGCCTAAAGAAAAGAAAGAAGAGGGGAACGCTCTCAACGAGCCAGGAGGGCAAGAATCCAACGCTGTCTAATGTGAAAGAGGGGAAAACACGGCGTACACCAAGAAAATAAATTTACAATGGAATATTTACAATGTAAAAGAAAAATCTCGTAATTGGGTTAGGCGGGCGGAGGGTCCTGAGGTTCCAAAACCCTCTCATCAGGTTCCCCTCAAAGGGGGAAGACCGGGGAGTACCCACTCGCTTGGGTCGGTCTCTGAGGTTGCAGGCCGCGGAGCGGCCTCGTTGGGGTGCCTTCCGGGGTGGGAGGTAGGACCTTATAACGGTCCGCAGCTTCAACCCGGTTGCGGGGAGCTGTCGCAGAGGCCTCTGCGTCGACGGGATTCGGAGATATGGATGATAGGAAATCTACCCCTGCGGGGTTCCTGGGGTCCCTTTCGAGAAAGTGAGTGCCAGTGCTCGGCTTGTCTTCACCGCAGAACCTCGCGGGAGGTGGCAAAGTCTCGAGGCTTCACTGGCTGGCCGACTGCCGAGAACTGTGATGGACCTCGTGGAGGTCCCGGAGGCCAAAGATTTTTATCGGCTGTCCGGGTCCCGTGTTCAGGACGAACACGTAGCAGAAGTCCGATTTGAAATATCTCTTTCCAAACCGAACTTATCCCGGAAGTAGAAGTGAAATTCCCTGTTGAGGGGCCAGGGAAACGCCTCTATCTTGGGCCACAGTGGCCGCACGACGATGGGAATGGCGGCGTTGGAGAGAGGAGAATGGGGGCTATCCGTAGAGGTGCCACTCGGCTCGGTCGCGGGGAGGTCGTGCAGCGACCTCGCGAGGCTGCCGCGAGCTTTGGGTGGGGGGTCCGCCTGGACCTCCGGAACCCGATGGCGAAGTCCGTAGCCCGATCGGACTGCGGATGGCGGAGATATTGCCCTCCGCGTCGAGGGTTGAGAAAAAGTATGTGTGGCCTAGGGGCCTCCTATGCCCATCCCAAGACGTTGCAGTCAAATGGATTGTCAAGAAGCTAGAATTTCCAAGACGGCCAGCGCGCAGCGCTGGGCCCACTGTGAAGCTCTCTGTACTTGAGCTTTAAGAAAGCACTATGCCTCACTCGTATGAGTGGAAAAGCGCAGGCCCACAAAATTCCAAAATTTCTCACTCACTTCTATGGTCACTTATCCTGTAGACTTGGCTGAGAGCAGATGTGGTGCCTTAAGCTCCTCAGCTTTTTGAAGTTGAAAATCAACTGGAAGATACTTCTTCCAGGATTATGATCTGCTGGTCCAATCCCTGATAAGGGCTTAAGAGAAAACAGACACAACCGTTTGAACCAGCGACCTATGGATTACTGCTATTATTTATATTTCCTCTACAGTCCACCGCTCTACCAACTGAGCTATCGAGGGTAACTGAAAACTGGTTTATGTAGTTACAAATATAACAAGGCGTCTTCTGTGTTTTTGTAGTGTAGTGGTTATCACGTTCGCCTTTCACGTGAAAGGTCTCCGGTTCGAACCCGGGCGGAATCATCTATATTTTCTCCAATTTTGTTTTTATAACACATATACCTACACTACATATGTCTTGTTTTTGAAGGTCTTCTAATGATTTTCGTTCCCTTTTATGTTTAAAGTTTTGTCATAATATATTACTTAGAGGTTTTAGATTATTGTTTCACTCTGCTATGATCTTAAAAGCTTCTAAAAAATAATCAAAATGAAAACAAAAATACAAATTAGAAAACTATGTCCTTTAATACATAGTAGCTCTTGTTTTTTGATTTTTTTACTAAGCTTATACAAATTTCCTTTCCCTTCGTTAATGGTTTATTATTATAGCATTATAGTTTACTTTTCACATCTTAATTTTCATACAGGTACTCTCTCCCATGGTTGAGAATATAAATCTATGACGTGGATTATATCCATAAACTTTTGCAGATAATAATATAAAAACGAATCTAGTCAATTTTAAAGGTAACTCGTTATATTACAACTTAATTCTTATTTCTAAAAAAATATTTTTAGAACCCGACCATGAATACATTGATCACGTATCACCAAAAAGTGGCAGATCAAGCGAAATAATTACTTTCAGTAATCGAAAAACATTAAAGCCTTGATACTTTGGTCGCTTTTGTGTGTGACGGATGCAATACCAATGTCGGAATATGGTCAGGAGTAGTGGATTATTTGTCTTCTACACATGAATGAGTTACCTTTTAGAAATTTAGATGGCGCACAAAAAGGAACTCGGACTTAAAAAGGTCCCATAGGAAAATTTATTAATACAGACTTTACCAAAAATTCAATAAAAAGTTTTGAAATAGTTGAAGGAAAAGTAAAATACTTAAATCAAAGTTTACTGGATTCTTTCAGCTCAAATCAAAAATATTTTTACGAAATACATTAGGTATACAAACAGGAAATTTTTCGAATTGAAGCTTTTGCTATAGGTCTCCAGGAGCATTACATGAGGCAAAATGTCTTACTAAAGCCAAACGAATTTTAAGATCCTATATTTCACAAAAAAAATCTATGGAAGTCTCACATATAACTTGCTAAATTTATGCTCTATTTTTAAGCTCCTATATGGTTTCAAACTATGTTAAATCCTCTTTGCATTGAAGACTCAAAGCATTACAATTCGCCGTAACTTTATTAACAAAAGATTGATGAAAATGTATCTCCTTCAATTGAAAAAGTACTCCAGAGAAACGATTTTTGCCCACCCTGAATATTGCTAGCCTAACCGATAAAGAAATGGAAACAATAATATTTGCCCTAGAAAAGTTTGCTTGCAAAAAAGAATATTAAAAAATAAAGAATTTTCAAGTACCCAACACTACCAACTTTAAATCTAAGCATATCTAAAATCTTATCGACTGGTCTATTATAAATTTTCCGTTCCTCCAATTTTGCCGAAGGAAGATCTTATAAAAACAAAAGAACATCCTTTAAAAATTATTATTACCTCCGCTGAAGGAGGTATTGTTTTCACTGGCGTTGGTTTGTTTGTTTGTTGGTTTATTAGTTTGTTGGTTTGTTTGTCAGCAGGATAACTCAAAAAGTACCGAACGGATTCGGATGAAACTTTGTGGAGTTGTTAGAAGTGCCAAAAGGAACAAGTGATTCAATTTTGGCATCTCTGGGTGCAGAATTAAGATGCAAAATGAGCTAAATACTAATAAATATTTCAAGTTAGCCTACTCTGCCAATAGATGTCGCTGTGCTGTGAAATCGGGAGCCGGGAGCGTCTTCCTCTCGGAATTTCCGTCGAGGGGAACCCTCCCCGTCCCTCTACACCGCCCTAGTCGTGAAAAATCCGCCTTGGAAGGCTCATAAGGACCCCGTGACGGCGGAGGTTTGCACTCTCTGAGTGTATATATGCCTCTAGTTATCCTTGCCATTCACAATAAGTGGAAAGAGCTGTAAAACTAGTAACGGAGGCATCTGCAAAAGGGGGGGAAATTTTGATATCTTAATATTAGGTTTCTATAATACCCCTAATATATATATATATACCGGGTGCGCAATATCTTCTTGGACACTTTTTAAATAAGTTATAGCGACAGAATGAAGCAACCAATCGCTTAGTGATTGAAGTACGAAAGGTTGCGCGATTTCTTAGCTTTAATTTGCGACCTCTTTGAAGACAATTGGACGATGTAAACAAAAGATACTGCGTTATGGAAAAGATAAGGGAAAAAGTGATCGCGCGGATCCATGCTGGCGACAAGCCCATGGACATCTCTCGCAACTTTGGGATTGCCAGGAGCACAATATATAGCATCAAGAAGCTCTATGACGAGTCTGGCGGCTATGTCAGACGAACAGGGAATTGTGGCAGGCCTAAGAGCGTCCGTACGGCCGACTTGGTGGGAAAAATAAAAAAGCAGGTCAAGGACCAACCAAACAACTCCGTCCGCGGCCTCGCCAAGAAGAACGATATCACCGAGAGCACCATGAGGAACCTGGTGAGGTTTGACCTTGGGATGCGGTCCAGGGCTGTCGTCCCAGTGCAAATGCTGACAGTAATTCAGCGAGAAAAGCGCCTGGAACGCAGTAAAAAAATTCTTAATTGGCTGAAAAGTAATCCGGGAAAGGTCGTAGTCTTCTCAGATGAGAAGAACTTCGTTGTCGACAAGTACAACAACCGCCGCAATGACAGATACATTGCCAAGTCTGCTGCAGACACTGATGCTAGTGTCAAGTATGTCCCAAGGTCCAAACACCCGGCCAAGGCCATGATGCTTGGCGTCGTTGGATCAGACGGAAAGACAATCCCACCGATCTGGATCAAGGGGAACCTGAACGCGAGCATGTATAAACATATACTTGCTCACCAAGTCTTTCCAGCTCTAGATGCTACTTATGGCCAAGGAAATTGGGTTTGGACCCAAGATGGCGCCCCAAGCCACACGTCAGACGCCGTCCAGAAGTACATCATCAGCAAACTGTCGTCCAAGGGATTCTGGTCAAAGGAGATGTGGCCGCCATCATCGCCAAACCTGAATCCCTTGGACTACTTTGTCTGGACGCATGTGGAGCAGAGAGCCTGCGCTACCAGCCACCCCAATGTCGACGCTCTGAAGGCTTCTGTCAACAAGGTGTGGGCCGCGATGAACACGAATGACATCGTCAATGCCTGCAAGGCCTTCAGGTCCCGTATCGAAGCCTGTATTAAAGCTGAAGGTTCTATATTTGAGAAATAAATTGGTAAATATATCTCTATAAACTGTCCAAGTTTCATTATTGTAGTACCTCAGGTTCATGTTTGAGATCTTCATGAAGTTAAAAATAAAAAGTGTCCAAGAAGATATTGCGCACCCGGTATATATATATATATATATATTATATATATATATATATATATATGGTAGGCGGAAAATTGCCCGAAAGAAAATTGCCCGAAGGATAATTGCCGGAAGGAAAATTGCCCGAAAGGAAAATACCCGAAGGAAAATTGCCTTATATTAGTCCCCTAAGAACTCCAGTTTATACCCAAATGTTAGGGTTTTTGGGGTGCTGCTGGACCTCAAAACGTGATCATTTCTACCTCGTATGCTAAAATAATTCATGTTAACCCTCGAAACCCAAATTTTTGGTTCCGCCGTGTCTCAAAATGTAATTGTATCTATGTCTTAATTTAAGCTAAAAATGAGTTATTAAAACCGTTCGCTAATAAGTCATGTTAGCCCCTTAGAACACAAATTATAACTCAAAATTTTGGGTCGATTTCTGGAATAATAGCTCTTTTGCTCTTGATATATTACGTTAATGGATAAAGCTAATTTTATAAGAAAAAATCACCGTGTTTTCTTTGTTAGACCCAGTATTTTTAAGCCTCACGTTTTGAGGTCCAAACTCAACTCAAAAAAGGGGTATTTGTGTTAGGAGCCTTTTGATTGATAGTACCTGCTTGGCTTAAATTTATATAATGATTGATAATTTGTCAAATTCATTATATTATAACAGAACAAAGAAGTTATATATAAAAAAACATACAATAAGTCTCTGGCCGTTATAAAGACAGAAAAGATTGCTTATTCAATACGCAGGGGAGTGCATCTTTGTCTGTTGCATACATTTTTGTTTCGTCTCTGAATTTCATACGCAGCAGGATTTAAATACTAACTTAGAAATATATTTCTTGCATCAAAATAGTTCTTACTTTATAAAGAACTAAGCTAACAAAGAAATATATATTAGGTCGTAATAAACACAAAATGTATCGCCTATTCTATACAAAGGGGAGTGTATCATTGTTATATCCATTTTTTTTTGTCTTTGAATTTTAAATCAGAATTATAACGTAGTAGATATAATCAGACATAATTAATTTCATTTGGTTACAAAAATAGAAATTAGTAATATCAAATATGTTTAATTTTGTCAGCAATTAAATATATTTTTACCACAAAATAAATATTACTTCTTAAAAGAGAAATTTCATTGATTAACTAATTAATAGCCAATTTAAAGTTTAAACTTTACGTTACTACAATTTGTAAACACCAGTGGTTTCTGCAATAACTTTTTTTTAACTTGCGATAACAATGAAACGATAACTTTTTTCTCAGCCTGCAATAAATGGTAAAAAAAAAACCTGCGATAAACGATAAAACGATAACAGTAAAAAATTCCAAAAAAAGTGGTGACGTTTTTTTTATTTTTTAAAAGAATTTCCAAAAAAAAGTTATGACGTTTTTTCCAAAAAAGTGACGTTTTTTAGAAATAATTTCCAAAAAAGTGATGACGTTTTTTTTTTAGAAAAGAGTATTGATTTTTTTTTTTGAAAAGGGTCTTTGAATTTATCGTTTATCGTTCCTCATTTTTGGGACTAACGATAAGTGAATGAGCGGTAATTTTAGAAAACTTTGCGAAAAACAATAACGATAAAAGGTTTGACCTCAGCGATAATTATCGTTTCTCGTTTATCGCTCATTTCATCGCACGCGGCAACCACTGGTAAACACGGCCTATTATGTTCATTTATGTCCAGAATTTGGTCACAATAACTGATGATA